AAAAAATTCCTGTTGGGTATATTTAGGATTCCATTTTTTACAGCACTCAACGCAAAATTCTCTATCGAATGATGTATAATTGTCCTGGGAATTTTTTTTGAAATTACCCGGGATTGCTCTATAACCCCGAAACCCCGAAATATGATGAAAACGGGTACATCTCCAAACTGTAACTAGACTCAACCCGAGAAATCAGTAATTCTTGGTATTGTGGTCGAGTTTTGGTCGTCACTTCAAATCCCTGTATATCTGGATACTGTACGAGGAAGATTATTTTAATTCTGATATCACCACCATTGTTTTTACGTATCATTCTACATGATTGGACTGCATTTCAGGTTTGTATCGAGATGAAATGTTGTGAGCTTTATGGTCAAGGCTTTTTAGGTCAACCCAATTCTTTAAAATCTTGATGCTGTCTAAATATATGTGCAAAATATTTTGATCAAAAATATAATTTTATGCAATTCGTCATACACAATAAAATTTCACATGAATTTAAATGAGTCGCTGTAAAAAAATGACACCACATTTTACTGATAATTCACTGATGTGGATCAAAACCGAAGCGGCACAGTCAGGCCATCCACTCGATACGAGGAGTAATACCCTGTCGCTTTCTTTGTGGTCACGATGGCTCGACAGACAGTGCTGTCATGGAACATGCAGCTGTGGACAACTGCCATGACGCTCTCGTAGGCCTGTAGGGCGGGACAGCTTCTAGGGATTCAAGTTGACTTCACAGTCAATTAACTGTAAATGCTCCTATTTTTGAGAGCAAACTTCATCAAGACGAGTATTATAAAATATGGAGGGGAAATTATCATCCAACCAACACGAAATATCGAAATTCTATTGGCTAACTGTAAGTCTAGTACATACTATCACGGACTCTTGATCGTTTGCATTATCCCTTTATCGAAACTTTTCAAGGTATCAAGCATTATGTCAAAGTATTGGCGAGCACGGGTGGCTGAAATTCGATGCGGATCAAAGTTTCCTTGAATGCAGAGAGCGTCCGTGGTGAGGGGCAAAACTGTCAATTCAATGACGTAGAACGACGCAGGTCGACAAGTTGTGAGACTCTCTTTCACAGCAGAACGCTCGTCCATTGCCAAGTTGACAAAACTGACTTCCGTGTCGAATAATGCAGCAGAATTGTCCACGCCCCATTGTTTACAAACGGTTGCCTTGGTTAGCGAGTACGGGAGCATTGCTGCATTATCGGCTTGCATGGCTTGAAGCAGAGACACATTGTCCTTGTCAAAGGTCACTCGACATGGCACAGAGCTGATGACGCATCCAAGCGTCCTATGGTCAAAATATAAAAGTGTAAAGGTCCATCAATACAAACGTCTTGATACCTGGCGACGTCTTTGACTGGGATTGTGCGATTTGATACTACTTGCCCGAACACTACATCATCCATGCGGAGCAGACGACGAAGTGTCGTTGCCCACGCTAGGCTTACAAGGGCGGCCATTCCCACGTGTATCCTCTTGAGCAACGCTGACGTACTGGGCATTTGGATGGTTTCCACAAGAGCAACAGCGCAATCCTTAGCATTGGAAGTACACGCAACGCAGGTGGGACCAGGCAATCCGCGAAGGTATGTCGTCCAATAACGTTCAGCCAGAGCACTGTCTTGGGCTTCAATGTAGTCGACCACGAGGCGAAAAGGCGGTCGGACAGCGAGCGGGCGTCCTTGAAGTGCATCCAGCACATCTCCCGTTAGCATCGCCATGGTGGCCCCGTCGTACAAAGCATGGTGAATGGTAAGCACGCCATGAACTTGGCCGTTCCCATGCTCGACAACGGCGAAACGAGCGAACGACGAATCGTCGAGGGTAAACGCACGAGTCAAATCCACGGCCAAAAAGGCGTCCAAAGTCAATGTCGATATCCTGGGAATGGAAATGTACATTGTGCTTGGTTGCACGACGTGAAACAATCCAAACTCCGTCTTGACAAAGGTAGAGCGTAAAATGTCACGTTGAGCCACAAGGTGCCGGTACTTGTCGGGTACGTCGTCCAGGCCCTGGCTCAAGTCGAATCGTACTTGCGAGACGAATGAGGATGGCGTTGTGTCGATTGTGCTGATCATGTCATGTTGCTCCTGAGTCGCCGGAAAGCAAGACTCGTACCCGGGCCACCGACGTTGAATACGGCTTCGCGCACATTCACTCACTTCGATGGAGGGCCACTCCAATTGCTTTTTAACCGACGACATCACGGACGAGGCTTGCTGTAATGTGTTGGACAGCAGCAATTCCGACGCCAAGATGTGCCACCCAGCTTTCTTACACAGTTGAACTACTCGAATGGCACTGATGGAATCGCCACCGATCGAGAAGAACGACGTCCGGCGGCCAATGTCGTTTACATTTACACCCAACACCTGCGCCCATATCTTTGCCATCCGCAGCTCCGACTCGGTCTCCAATGCTTCCACTTGCACCTCCGACTCCAACGCCTGCAGCGCGTTCTTGTCGATCTTGCCGTTCGAGTTCTGCGGCATCACGTCCAGCCCCACCCATACCGCAGGGACCATGTATACTGGCAAGTGGGCTGCCACGATCTGTTGCAACTTTTCAATGGCCACTGAAGCAGGCGTAAAGTACCCCACGAGGTGGGATTTGTCCTTGACGATTACCGCAGCAGACACGACGTCTGGGTGCTGCATCATGGCCCCGGCGACCTCGTCCAACTCGATGCGGTACCCCTTCAGCTTCACTTGGCTGTCCTCGCGACCCAACAGCTCAAAGTTGCCGTCCAAAAGTAACCGACCCAGGTCTCCAGTGCGGAACATCACACCACCTTGAACAAAGGGGTCTGGGATAAAGCGCTTGTTTGTTTGATGTGGTAGGTTGATGTATCCTGGTGACACACAAACGCCGCCCAAGCACAGCTCGCCCACGACACCCACAGGAACAGGTCGTTGGTTGGAGTTCAAGATGTAGCTGTGGACGTTCTCGAGCGGTCGGCCGATGGTGATGGGATCTCCAGGTTGAAGTTCGGCATAATGCGTCATGATGGCACATTCCGACGGTCCGTACAAGTTCATGAAGCGAACGTACGGGGCCCAGAGGTCTTTGAGGGCCAGCGGACAAGCTTCGCCGCCAACAGATACAACTTTGACTCGAGGGTAGTTACGTGGGTGGCCCAACAAACCCAGCGCCGTGGGAGTGCACGCAAAGGCATCGATGGAGAGCTTGAGCGTTTCCATAAAGTCATTGTCACGAAGCACCAGGGTCGCGCCGTGGGACAGACATTTCCACATGTCCATCTGAAACCCATCGAACGACACAGCCATGAACTGCATCACTCGTGCGTGCTGGACAATGCCAACTGGGGCAGAACTGTGGACCATCACGTTGGTAGCTCCACCATGGATGACAGGAACCCCTTTCGGCTTTCCTGAGGACCCTGACGTGTACACGACATACGCTTCATCCAACGCAGTTGCAATCTGTTTCGAGTGCGGAAGAAATACAGAGGTCGGCTCCAAGGCGAGCTCTTTGGACGTGATATATACGATGGGGATGTCCAGCATCATGGCGGCAATGTGGTCACAGTGCTCGTTCGTCGACACCACCACCGACACGCTGGCATCCGTAAGCATGTACTTCAATCGGTCTGGTGGAAAGGCTGCATCCAGCGGCATCATGGACGCTCCTGTTTTCAGTGCTGCCAGCAGTCCAATGGGAAACTCCAAGCACCGCTCCATGATCACAGCCACTCGATGGCCCACTTGTACTCCGAGAGCAGTCAGCTTGACTGCAAGAGTGTTTGCTTGCTCGTCCAGGTCCCCATATCGCAATACAGACTGGCCAAACTCGACAGCTGGGAGTCCAGGATGTTCGCGTGCTTTGTCTTCGAACGCATGATGCAGCAGATCGTACGGCAAAGGAACTTGGGTGCCCTTCATGGCCTCCTGAACCAGCCGCTGTTCGTCGTGGGAGATGGCGCCAATGTCTCCAATCACTTGATCGCAAGTCGTGATTGTTGCAATCACGGACAGGACGTGGGTAAACCGATGTGCCATAAACTGCACAATGGCTTCGTCCACGACCTTGCACTTGAACGTAATCTTGATATCGAATGAGTCTGGATCCTTGGGTGAAATGGCCACGCAAATAGGAATATCCACAAACTCCTCGCCACCTTGAAGCTCGATCGAAAATGGCCGAGGTGCGTTGGATTTGTGCAGCTCTGACTGGGGGTAGTTGGCATACGCCAAGATCGTGTCGAATAGCTCCGACGTTCCAATCCAGTGCTGAATGTCCGACAAGCTACAGTGCGCATGTTCCAGCAGGCCGGTGGAGTACGCATGCACAGCCTGAATGCATTGCGACGCAGCCATAGCCAACGGAATATGGACGAGAATGGGAACCGTATTGATCAGCATCCCGACCATTCTACAATCACAACATCAGACAACAACATCAGATCACTCAGTACCTTTCCGCGCCTGTATGGCCACCGTCGCGACCAGACACGACGGAACCAAATACCACGTGGTTGGACTGCGTGTATTGCTGCAACACGATGGCCCATGCAGTTCGGAATATCGAGCTTGGGGTCACTTCCAGCAGTTTGCACACTTGTGTCAGCTGTGGGAGGACTAGCGTTTGCGAGTGCGACTTGTACATTTCCAAGTCGCCGCCATGGAGTTCCAGTGGCTTTGCCAGGGTCACTTTCGCGGTTTTGTCTGCATATTCAAGCGCCATAGTCCAGAATTCCCGACTTAACTGTAAGTTGATAACCGCAACTTTTGACTTGCTGGTCGATTTTTGAACCAACATGTCTGAGATTGTGGGTGTGTTGGCCTCGACGATTGCATTGGCAGGTACGCGCTCTGGATGTTGCAACATGGACCGAAATGAGGTTGACACTGGGCAATTGCAAGTGTGAGTGGAATTCTGCGTTATTGTTCGACATCTAATTTGTAACTGTGCAGCAGGTAGGTATGTGTTTTCTTCCATCATTCAACCATTGAAATACTCCGTCGATTCTATTTATAGGTTGTGGCGGTACTGTACTGTACTAGTACAGTAACAGTAGTAGGTTAGAATAAACCATACCAGACAAACTAACAGTGGTCGAGACCATCCACGACCCTTTCTATTGTATTAAAAATATTCATGTGTTCTTACAATTTTCATTTTAATGAAGCCGAATTCAATAAATCTGATAATAATTGAAATATGTCTTGCTTGAACACTATTAACCCAAATCCAGCCATGCCTTGGTGGGATTTACTCCTTGAGGTGGTCCAAAACGTCATCTTACAAAATGGACCGTTTACCTCCATTTTGAAAATGGCATTTCGGTTTATCCAGTCCATTAATCCATTAGGGTTACAGGTATTAACCACTTCCCGTCCTATACTGCCGGTAGTAGGGTACTGTAACCCTATCGGACGGAAAGTCAAACGCAAGTAAAATAAGTTAAGGGCTCGTCGTCTGGTAACTTTTCAAAAATAATATTCCAGTTTTTGGCAAAATGGGAGCTTTTTTTACCCTAAAAATGGACGGGGGCTTTTGTAAACGAGCTGGCTAACTTGGAAGAGCCCTTAAAGAGCATCTCCGCCGCACCTCCAAATGGCGGCGCGACAAGTGATAACTTCAAATGCGCAGCGCGCACGTAGCAAGTGACAAAGTCGTCGCAGGGTCATTCACGTGGACTAGTTCCACGTGAATGGCCTAGATAGGCTCTACACGAGCCGCCGGAAATGACATGTCGGCATTCAAAATTACCCCACATAAATTATGTATTATGTGACATATTAATAATACTTCCAGTACCAAAACATACCTGGAAGCAATTTTCCCCCGAAATAACTCCTGAAAATACCTGGTCGCGGTGTTCAACCTATATGCTTCCTTGTTGTATTACCTACGACCTTAGAAAAAAAATAACTTTGCGCATTAATCTAATGGCTCGGCTACCCGTCGTTGTGCGCACTAACGTTACCGTATATTCGATCAATCATAACCACGTGCTTGAATTAATTTCCCAATGGTTCATACCAGTATTTCCTACTGACCTTTTGTAGTTGACCCAGCTGACCGGTTTCGTTGTTCAGAAAACAATGTATTCGGACGGTTTCAAATATGTAGCGGTTTCAGTCCCATTGCATGCTAAATATACATCGACCATTTCCAACCACGTGGCGCCGCTAACGTAGCAGCAGTCGGACGAGAGAAACGGAAAGAACCGCACCACCGTGTCCGCGATACCGCCATCAACCGCCATTAAACCGGCGCCGGAAGCCGAAGGCGCCTCGCTCAGCAGTGTGTCGGCCATTCAACTCGAAGGGGGGGGGATGCAACACGACGGGGTGCGGCGCATCTGTCCGCATGTCGCCATCGACACCAGAGCTGGCAGTGGCTACGTCTCCAACCAAATTCGGACCTCCAAGTACACCATTTGGAACTTCTTACCCATCGGGCTGTACTTGGCCTTTCGACTGGTACATTTCCACAATCATTGCAAGCTACTTATCACTTTACTTAGTCGACGAACTTTTACTTTTTGATCATTGCCGTGCTTCAATCCATGTCTGTCATTTCGCCGCTGGGACCTATGACCGCCATTTTCCCGCTCGTGTTGGTCGTGTGCATCAGCCTCCTTCGGGAAGCCATCGAAGACCGAGTAAGTCGATTGCTTTACATCGTTCGAATGGTTATACTGATATGTGTATTCTAGAATCGGTGGCTATCGGACCGAAAAAGCAACCTCAAACCCACTCGAGTGTGGCGCCAGGGTCAAGTTCTGGACGTCGTGTGGGAACATATTCAGGTGGGCGACGTGCTTCTAGTCCGCGACAAGGAAACATTTGCTGCCGACGCCATCGTGCTGTCGAGCTCGGATGAAAACGGTAACATTTTCTATATATATGTATGCATTTTGTGCACGCTATACATCCACACATTCGTAGGCGCGTGCTTGATCGACACTAGCAACTTGGACGGCGAGGCCAATTTGAAGCCCCGCAGCGGTCTCGCGTGCACCGCCAACTCACGGTTTCCGGATGCCGTGCAACCGTCTTCCGGACACCTCCCCCGCTTTACCGTCCAATGCGAACCCCCCGACGTGGACATGTACAAGTTTACCGGGATGCTGGAACTCGCGAAGGAAGTGCACGCGTTGGACGAGCAGCAATTCATTCCCCGGGGCTCGACGCTCAAAAACACGAAATGGGTCGTCATAGTCGTCGTGTACACTGGTACCCCCTGCCACTGTCCATGCATATCTTATTTATGTGATACTGCATAGGCCACGAGACCAAAATGATGAAAAATGCCAAGGAGCCGCACCACAAGCTGAGCCACGTGGACGGGATCTTGAACCGCGCGGTGGTGTTCATTTTCGTGGCGCAAGTCACGCTGTGCGCCGTGGGGTCGGTCTGCCATAAGCTGTGGGCGGCGCCGTTCGAATCCGCCATCATGGACAAGCAGGCCGGCGTTGAGTCCGTTTCTGGAGTTCTCACGTTCCTGTCGTTCGTTGTGCTGCTCAACACGTTCATTCCAAGCTCCCTCGTTGTCAGGTACGTAGTATTTCTATTATTATCTATCCGACAAATAATAACGATATTATGTTGTAGCGTCGAACTGATTAAAACGATCCATGCAAAGTACATTGGGTGGGACCGCGACATGCGCAACCCAAAGGTACGGACCGCTTTCAACAGAACAGAACAGCCCTATAATATATAGAGACTTGCCAACTGAATGAACGAGCAAAAGCTTTGCGACTTTTGTGTGGTCGATGCATATATATATATATATATATATTATATTTAAAAAATACCTATATTTTGTTAGGGTGAAGGCGCGACAGCCCTCACGTCGACGTTGGTGGAAGAGTTGGGCCAAGTCAAGTACTTGTTCTCCGACAAAACGGGCACGTTAACGCAAAACCTGATGGAGTTCCGCAAGTGCAGTGTCAACGGGTGTGTGTACTCGTCCGCAGAATTCGGCAGCAGCGCCAACGTGTTGTCGACAGTCACCAGTATCAATACCACCAACAACTACAACAACGGCAACGACGACGACGACGACGCCAAGGGTCTCAGGGTCGAGTCCACGTCGAGCCAAGCCGAGGACTGCAGAGTTTTTGGGTTAGACCAGTTGCGCCTCTGCGGGCACGACGCGTCGACACCCGAAGCCGCCTTCATTCTGGCCATGGCGCTGTGTCACACAGTCGTATGCGAGTCCGACGCCGCTTCCCCCAACCTTGTGCAGTACAACGCCGACTCTCCAGACGAAGCTGCTCTTGTCAGAAGCGCCAATTCGCTCGGGTTTCGGTTCCTCGGTCGAACTAACCGCAAGGTAAAATTATATATATATATATATATATATATATATATTTAAAGGGCTTGTCGTTGTACAAGTCATGACGATATATACATATATATGCTCGGCAACCCCCGAACGAGTCGCGCAATAGTGTGAGATGCAATTTGTCTTGGATAACGTTAACTAGATATTCACTCATGTGTATGCTTGTTGCCTCAATCTAAATGGTTCCATATCCAGAAGTAGGTTGAATATAAATATATTTATATATATACACGTTGGTAATTTCTACCCGACGTTACTTTCTCTGTATCTGGTGGTTCGATATCCCATATGATCCTAGGCGGTGGTTTCAAAGGAGCATTTGAAGATCGAAACGGCGCGGATGGAGTATGACGTGTTGTACGTGCTCGCATTCAACAGCAACCGCAAGCGCATGTCTGTGATTGTGCGCGATCGACAGACCAACGCAATCCGACTCATTTGCAAAGGTATGATAAATATATTATATATATATATATATATTCGATGCTATTCTGTGCATATGCAGGCGCGGACTGTGTGATTCTGGACCGATGTACCCACTTTGGGTCGCAGTCGAAAGGCGCGATTGAAACACACTTGAAGGATTTTGCAGGCGAAGGTCTTCGTACACTGTGCTATGCAGACCGCGTCCTCGTACGAATAAATATATGTTATATTTGTATCTTGAAATAATAAATATATATATATGATGGTTGGTAGGACGAAGTGACGTTTGACAAATGGTGCAAGAGCTACCGGGAAGCTGAACTCGCCATGAAGTGCCGCGAAGAAGCGATGGAGGCCATGGCCGGCGAAATTGAGCAAAACATGACATTCCTTGCCACCACCGGTACTAATACAGTGTATAATATATATTTATATATATTCAACTTGCTATTGATATCCTCCGTATTTATATGTATATATGTTGGGAAAGAACGACCGATGCGTATGCGACTATATGGTAGCCATCGAAGACAAGTTGCAAGACGGTGTGCCAGACACGATCGCGCGACTCCTTCGGGCTGACTTGAAGGTATGAAAATATATTTTATCTCGTGATATATATATATAATATATTTGTTGTGCGATAGATATGGGTATTAACTGGAGACAAAGTCGAAACCGCCGTGGAGATTGGACGGTCGTGCCGAGTGATTTCGAAAGACATGGTCGAAATGCACCTCGAAGGCACCACCGTGCCAGCGATGGCCAAAAGTCTCGTCACATTGGCGTCCACCCCGACTTTGGTAGCTATTAATATATATATATAATTGAACTTGTATAAATATATATTCTCATATTAGAAACCGCGGGCGTTGATTATCGACGGGTTCTCGCTCTCGTTTGCGTTGATGCCATCGAATCGGCAAAATTTCCTCGCATTTGCGACTCAGTGCGCGGCCGTGATTGTGTGCCGCATGTCCCCGCTGCAAAAGGCGCTCGTGGTGGAACTCGTCAAGGACGGCGTTGGGTGTGTGACTATGGCAGTGTACGTACTAGTAGTCGCCATTATATTGTGCTTTCAGCCAAAACTTGAGCTGTCTTATGGCTGTCCAATATACTATCAGTCGATTGGGAATACAATTTGAACTGGACTAGTGCGTGTCCAATTC